TTAACTAGTTTTTGAAAATTTCATAAGCGTTGTAGTATATTTTTCCTATTGATATGTTATCTTCAATTATTTTTTTATTTTTTTTGTTTATATTGAATCCCAAATATAGGTAACAACAAGGAGCACATGAACCAAATAATGTAAATTCCAGGTTAAAATTTTAAGAAAATATTGAAGTAGAGTATATTTTAAATGAATTTAAATAAGTAACTAATTGTTCAAAATAGAAGTGGACACTAATAGTGAAAAATAAAATAATTAAGTGTGAATTTTCAATTATAGTAGAAATTTGGATGAAATAAATAAATAAATAAATAATATAAGAAATTGAGAAGTTTCTTGAAAGTTAATCATGAATGAATTAAATAAATTTTAGTATCAAATTATATTAGTAACTAAAAGAAATAACTAAAGATATTGGAGAGGCAAAAAGGAGTAGGAAAATTGTAAATAAGCTAAAAACTCCATCTGTTTCTTCTTATAAGGATGAAGAAGAAAAATATGGTAGAAATTTAGAGAGTATACAAAATCAATTGATAAAGTGTTCTACATCTTTTTATCCAAGTTTTAATGAAATTAAATGAATTTGGATCAAAAACACCCAAATTTTGATTTAAAGTTCTTGGATGAAAATTAAAAAAAATTATAAAATTAATCTTAATTGAATCCATTGGAATGAAATAAATTAGGAAAGGTATAAAATCTCAAAGAATTGATGAAGTAAGCTTGGTGTTTTGAGGGCCTATGGGGCTGGCCAAGTTAGGAGTGAAAAAGGAATTGTGTTTATTTAGTATAAATGCTTATAATTGTATGGGATTGATGTGTATTATTATTATTTGTTTTTTTTTTACGTTTTAAAAGTGTTTTTGAAAAAATTTAAATTTTTTTTATTTTCTTCTTTGCTTCAAATTAATATTTTTTTTAGTATTTTCAGATTATTTTGATGTGATGATATCAAAAATTATTTTTAAAAAATAAAAAAAATATTATTTTAATGTATTTTCAAATAAAAAATACTTTGAAAAGCAACCGCAACCACACTTTCAAACACACTCCACTTAGAGTGTGTTTGGTAGTGTGGTAGCGGTTGCTTTTCAAATAACTTTTTGTGCTGAAATGCATGCCAATAATGTTTTTTTATTTTTTAAAAATCATTTTTAACATCAGCACATCAAAACGATCCAAAACATACAAACCATATTAAATTTTAATAAAAATAAAAAATAAAAAATTTTTGAATTTTTTGAGAACGCAGGTTCAACCACGTTCCCAAACACTGCCTTAGTATGTACAAAATGTAGTATATATGAACACATTAGTTCTTAAACTAACTCATAACACTCAAATTCAACTATCCTTTTAGGATGTTATTAGCTGAAACCAATTGTTTATTCATCTTAGTCATCCACTTAAAATGTTATTGATCGAAAATAGTCATTTACTCATCCTAGTCATCCAATTAAAATGTCATTAGTTATAGCTAATTATTTGTTCTGGTAAAATTAAGTTTAATATATGAAATCAATGTTTTGTAGGACTTAATCAAAAATAAATTTAATCTTTTTTATATATACATGATGTAGGATTTCTAGTTGATATATATTCTTTTGATAATAAATACATATTAACCAAAGAAGGCTAAAGGTCTAAAAGGAAACTTACATGTGCTTGATTGATAAAAATAAGTTGAAAAAATCAACACAAAAAGGTAAATGTACATTGCAGTTTAATATATAATAAATTTTTATTCAAGTATTTAATCAAGACATGTAAAACTAATTTAAAAAGTTAATTTACAACTTTATAACTTGATGTTTATCTTGAAATTGTTAAATATTGTTTTCAACGTTAAAATCGATTATAAAATCTCATTTTAAATTCTTTAGACAATTTAATTAGTATATCATTTTGAATATATATTTACTATCAATTACTAATTTATCCAAATTTCATTTAATTATTTTATTGTGTTTATTTTTAATAAACACCCTTTAAATATGTGTGTGTTAGTATCTTAGTTGTTAAAAAAATTATGAAGGATTTGACATCCTCAGTGTAAAGGCATTAGGGGTTCAAAACCTTTGAACTTCAAGGTGTATGCAATGAACTTTTATTGCTTTGTAATTTATTAAGAAATGTTAAAATTAAAATACATGAGACCAAACTAAAAAAAACATGAAGACACTAGGTGGTTGTATTAAAATTAATGTAAAAAGTTTACTTTGATGTTTTTAGTTTGTAATTTACCTATTTTTTCGATCACTTTAGTTCTTTTAAAATTTCCTTTATGTCCAACTTAATTTCTCTTATTTTTTTATCCTTGTTTTGAGGTAAAAGTGAGAAAATCATCATATTTAAGTGATAAAAAAAAAATTGTTAGTTGAGATTGATTCCAACCACTAAAATAATCTATATTAGTGTTAACAAGTTTCATTTGATGAGAGGGATTCTATTAGGTGTTTCTTTTGGCTTCAAGTTGTATGAAATAATAGATTTCTCAGCAAAAAGTTGAGTTTCAGATTGATTTTTTATTTCTGGATATATTTTGATTTATTTGAAGGCATAAATGATTTTACTTGGATCTCTAAGTAGTTGTTTTAGGTATATTTTTTTTGGTGAAAACAATGGTTGAAAAATGAAGATTTAGGTGTAAAACACCATTTCTCTAAGTTTTTACTGACCATTTGATTGTTAAAATTTAGGCACAACAATGACAACTTATTGTTTTTTTTTTCAAAAAAAAGCTAGCATAGATGAATTTAAAAATAACAATAATAATAATAATAAAAGTTAGGCACTTGAACTTCGAGACCCATGTGCATGTGTTTTTTTTTTTTTAAGGTCCCAAGCATGCCACATCTAGCCCTTTTTTTTATGTACTTTGGTTGTTTTTTCTTTGATTTTTCTCAATTTTATACTCTAGTGTTAAGTTTTTCTTTTGAATTTCTTTTTCAAATTCCTCATTCGATATTTGTTTTATTTTTAATTGGTTCTCATGATTTGTTTTATTTTATTTTTTTATAAAATTATCACGATCTTAAATAAACGTCTTGTTATTTTGTTAGAGCTTGATTTTGCACACACACACACACACACACACACGCATATATATATATATATATATATATATATTATTTTTTTATCATCTAACTTTGAACTCATTAAATTTATTAAGTCATATCAAGTTAATCCCTGTATTACTTTTTTTTTATTTACTAGAAATTAGTAATACCTAATTTTTTTATTAAAAAAAATTAGTATAACCCAAAGCATAACATAAATCTAGTGACAAATAAAAGTAAGTGACTTCAAGCAAAGCAAACCCACCACCAAGCGGGAGCACCTAATCCAAAATATCTAATTTGTTTATCTTACCCAACTCAGTTTCATTTCTTTATTTTTTATGTGTGTATAAAACAAAAAATAAAATCCTGCATAAAAAAACCCCATCTATTTTTGTGTGATATAATAATACTAATAATAAACAAAATATTTTATTTTAAAATTGATGTAATTATTATACTCTCTTGTAAGACAATTATAAAAGTTTATGGTGCTTCATTGTTTGGAAGCTCCATAGTTTGTTTATTTTTTTTCAATCTTCTTTTATCCTTTTAATTTCCCCTTTAATTTCATTACTTTTTTGTTTTTTTTGTGATTTTTTTTAATTTAATCCTTCAATCTTAGTTTTGTATTAGTTTTTTTTCTCAATTTAATCCTTCAATATTTAATTAATTTTGAATTAATCTTTATAATTTATTTTCTTTTGTCTTCTATAATCTTATCAAAGTTTCAAACAAATATCATAACATTTGATATATATTCGATTTTACAATGGTATATGTTTTGTTATCATGTAATTAAGTGAAAAATAGATTTAGAAAAATAAAGTTATCAAATAGATTCCATGATCTAGGTTATAGGTTAAATGAGAAAAGTCACGAAACCCGGGTTGATCCAATAAGTTGTTATCTTGATGTTAAGAAAATAGTTATATCACCTTGAAATTTCTTTAAAAGCTAAATCACTTTTTTTTTCCTTTCATACAAGTTGGATGAGGGTGTTTGTTTCTATGGTTGCTTATGCTTTTGAAGTAAATCATAGAAAAAAAAATGTTTGGTAAATTATAAAATATAATTTATTGTTTATGGAACCCGATATAATTTGCATTTAAAACTCAGGTTAATTGAAAGCAGCTTCAAGCTGCTTCTCTTTTTATGCTGTCTGTGGAGAGTAAATTAATTCAATTTTTACTATTCATAGCCAGATCGGGTCCGATCCAAACTTAAATATGCCCAAACTTAAATATATTGGATCGGGTTCGATCCAGTAAAAAAATCTAATTTTTTCTATTTTTAATTATTTTTCATTTGAAAAACTAGTGTTTAACATTATTCAATGATACTACATAAATTAAAAGGAATCACATAATGATATAACATTTGCAGAATTTGATTGTAATCTCAATTTTGTTTCTGATGATATTTTACTTGATTTTATTACACACTAAAAAAACTATAGAAACTATAGTTCTTGTTAAATGAATTTCGTACGTGTTGGAATTATAGATAGTTTAATGAAACAATAAAAAATATTTTATATGTAGTATTATTTATTTCATGATATAATAACAATAGTTAAGTTTACAATATTTAAATTAAAAATTATATATATATATATATATATTTTATAACCTCAACTTTTAAAACATTTTAACCAAACATATTTAATTATATTTTATTTAATCTCAATTTTAATTATAATTTTAACAAAATATATATAAATAACAAACCAACCTAAACTAAAAATACTTTTTATATAATAATTTTTTTAATTATAATTATAAAATCTATCACAATAACAAATATATTTACATGTTATTAAACTAGTTGCTATTGTCTGCAGACATCTGGCGGGTCGGAGTTTTTCAATCGGTTAACCAGGCTCGCATGCGTCATGGTAATTATGAACCGTATCATGCAAACGGTGCCGTTTTTTGTTTTTATTTTATCTCTTTTTTTTGGCCTTTCGTATCTGAGCCGATCTCCTTGTGTTGGCACTCGGCAGAAACGGATGGATTGTCTTGGTAGCTACTGAAATTTTGTTTGGTTTCCAGTTCGTCCATTTCTAGAAGGAAAATTATTGGTCAATCTTCAACAAATTATTCGACCCGACCTTGCCCTACAGCGCACACACCGGGCAGAGGCTCCAATGAAATACCTGCCTGCGCATGCGTGATCAGAGAAGCCTAAATCGAGAGATTGTCGCCTGCGATTAATTAATTGGTAAACAAGCAAGCATATTTGTTTTTGATATGTTGTTTGCCTTTTGATCTCCCAATTTTTTTTTTTTGAGGTAATCAGATCAGATTAGATTCGATGGATTGCTGTGTTTGTTAGAATCTTGTAGTGAGTTTCAGATAAATTTTGATTGTTCTTAAATTAAAAAAAAAAATCATAGATTATAAGGTGAATTGGCCTTTTGTTTTTTTTTTTTTTTTTTTTTTGGGGGGGTGGCGGGGTGTTGATTATGATTGAATAATAAATAAACTGTGCTGTTTTGCAACAGGTAGACAGTGTTTATCTGAGAAAAAAAAAAGGTATGCTAAGGACTAAGAGGAAAGTGCCTTCATTGGTGGATCTTTGTGTTAGTTTAGCAGTAGAGAATGTCAAGTACCTAGGAGATGTTGGAGAAACTGATTTACATCTTCTTGACCGCATCTTACCTCATTGTACAGTGGATCAGCTGATGCACATCGAGAAGAGTACTGTTGTAAGAATTTACTACCATCTTTATTTCTCCTAACTTCTTTAATTTTAATCCAAGTTTTCCCTTCTCTTTTTTTTTTTGTTTTGTTTCATTCATTCAGGGACGCGATCTTAGTTCAGTAACTGATAAGCTGTGGAAAACATTTTATGAGAAACAGTTCGGTGAGAGGAGTACTGATCTTGTGATTCAGAGGATGAGGCAGAAGAAAGTTTCATTTCGATGGTTACAATTATACGAGGTACTTTCCATCTGGAAAATTAAAATTCCTCATAAGAAACTTCTTTCCCCTATAAAACTTTGTGGAATGACTTCTTTCTAGGCAAAGCTGAAGGAAATTGCGGAGGCAGAGAACAAATTAGGTTCTCGAATCAGGCAACTATACAAAAAAGAAGATGACAGTATGTTTTTTATTTATTTTCAAAGTACATAAAAAAGCTTAACTTGTTGATTTTTTATTTTGTTTTCTATAAGGGATTTGTGTTTATTAGTTGTATGTCATATGGTGTAGCAGTGAGTTGTTTGTACTTCATGCTGTTTCGTGCTATGGTGTATTTTGCTGTATGCATTTTGCATTTAGGATCACTTAAAGGCCACTTTTACTAAACTGTGGGTGTGAGTTCTGAGAGCAGTCTCATGCAGGTAACACTGAAGCTTAGAAATGCATCTTAATCACTCGTATAAGGCTGTACTTTACCCAGACTAAAAACCAATTGTTGGTCTTTAGTTCTGAGCAGCATATGCTTATTTTGCTTTCAACTTTGTTTTTTTTCCCTTTCTTGATGTTGAATTTGCTCTATTGTATCAAGGTGTTGAACGCTGGGATGATAAGGTTTGGTCAAACATCCTATTAGTTTATATGTTTGTATTCAAATCAAGCTTAATATATAACAAAACAAACTCCTTTTTGTTCCCTGAGAACATCTTTGTTCTTTTACTGAGATCTCTCATATCTCTGTGCACAGTTTTAAGCAAATGTATGTGTTTGGAAAGAGGAATAATTTAGATGGTGGTTTTAGGAGATGCTGTCACAATTTTTTGTTACTGAAGTCAAGAAATATATTTGATGAAACTTTTTTTTTCTCCCTCTCCTCTCATATATTTGCAGCCTTTAATGTTGGTGACCTTTTAGAAGCTTAATGTGCTAAAGACTATTACCAGAAAAATTACATGTAGTTTCTTGAATGATTGAGTTTGTGGTAGAAGCTTAAAAATGGATAATTCTAAAATGTAATGAAGTTTTTCATTGAATTAGAAATTCTTAATATGGAATTTTCTTATCTAGAGTGAAATTTTTAGGGTTTGGAGCTAGGTTTTGTAAAAGTTACTTCCTGAGTGAACAAGGTACCCGTTTACTTGATTGAGCATGTAACAGCCCAGCCCAACCTACTGTATATTGTTCGCTTTGGGCCTTCCGCCCTCACGGTTTTGTTCCTGGTGATGCGAGCC